TGAAAAATACTACCTTGAACAAAAAGGTCAAGGTTAACATCCACAGTGATTAGTAAATGTGATTTTAAAAAGGAAACACTAAGAAACTGCCATAGATCAAAGATAAGAAGACCATGATGACTCAACATAGTATCCTAGACTGGAAACTAGAGCAAATCAGTCTAATCATGAGAAAAACACCAGATATATCTAATCAAGGTCTATTTTACAAAACACCTGATTGGTAACCCTCAAAACAATCAAGATCATCACAAATAAAGAGAGCCTAAGGAAGAATGACTACTAAGTGTAGTATGCTTTCTTGATTGGGATTCTGGAATAGACATTAGGTAAAAACTAAGGAACTCCAAATGAGGTCTGGACTTTGGTTAATGATAAGTTATCAATCTAGTTTCATTAATTATAACAAATTTAATATATCAAGGTAAGATGTTAACAACAGAAGAAACTGGATATGGAGTATATATAGTAAGTATCTATCTATACTATCTTTTGTAATAATTCTACATACCAGAAAAGTTTTTAATTATTAAAAAAAAAAAAAAAGAGCAGCTGCTCAGGAGGCTGAGACAGGAGGACCACGAGTTCAAAACCAGCCTCAGCAAAATCAAGGTGCTAAGCAATTCAGTGAGACCCTGTCTCTAAATAAAATACAAAATAGGGCTGGGGATGTGGCTCAGTGGTCAAGTGCCCCTGAGTTCAATCCCTGGTACCAAACCACACCCCCCAGAAAAAAGATGTTAGTAGAAATACAGCAAACCACAAATAAGAATCCATAGTTAACAATCATACATTGATATTAATACCTTAGTTTTGACTACATACCATAGTTAAATAAGCTGTTGATATTAGGTGGGCTAGGAATGTAGCTTGTAACTTGCCTAGCATACCTAGAGCCCTGGGTTTGATCTGAAGTACTGCAAAAAACAATGAAAAAGAACATGAGGGAAAGACTATATAAAAGAAATATGGGAACTGTCAAAATTATCTTTATAAAAAGTTTCTGGTAAATCTAAATTTTTTTAAACTATCTTTTAGTTGTTGATGGACCGTTGTTTAATTTATTTATTTATATGTGGTACTGAGGATCAAAACCAGTGCCTCACACATGCTAGATAAGCACTCTACCACTGAGCTACAGCCCCAGCCCAAGAGTTTATTTTTTTAATGGGCAAAAATACCTAAACTGATACTTCTTAGAAGACATGAATAACCAAATACTATGAAAAATGGTCATTATAGAAATGTAATTTAGCAGGAAAATGAGGAAACATTACATAACCATTAGAATGACTAAAATTAAAAAGACTGACCTCCTAAATGGAACAAACAAATCCCTGAAAGACACAAACTTACCAAGGCACTTAAGAAGTAGATCGTTTATAAACCCATAATTCTCAAAGAAGGTGAATTTCTAGTTCAATACCTTGACACAAATAAACCTCCAGACTTAGCTAGTTGCAATGGCAAAATCCTGTCAAACACTGAAGAAATAATTCCAATTCTATACCTTCTTACAGAAAATAGGAGGAAAAATTTTCCAGTGAGTTAGGCCAACACTACTCTGACAACAACACTAGACAAGAAGATTACAAGAAAGCAAAGCAGATCAATCTTCATCAATATATATACAAAGTTCTTCAAAGTGTTTTTAAAAAAATGAAATCCAGTATTGTTCATGAATAGAACAATTTATCAAATGCAAAAGGCCTTTCCCCAGGAAGGCAAATTTGGGTTAACATTCAAAAATCAACCAATGTACTTCACCATAATATCAGAAGAAAATAGAAGAAGCACACAATTTTGTCCAGAAGGGTTATCTGATGAAATCTAAAACATGTAAGTAGAAATGTAAGACAATGGTAGAAATTTTATAATTAATATAGTTAAGTGTGAAAAAATGTTGGGCGTTGATTAATATGACAAGATAATCAAATCTTTGAAAATCATCAGGTACAAACAATTTCTCATAACAGATTTAATTACTTAAAAGGAATTAAGAAATGGTCTTCAGTAGTATAGAGAAAGAGGAACAAAGGAAGGGAGAAGTACTGAAGGTTGAAATGGAGCAAAATACATTTCATGCATGTATGAATATGTTAAAAAGAACACCACTATTATATGTAATGCACTAATTAAAACTGCTATTATAAAGTAATCCAATTTATTTCAGATGAATAATAATTTACTTGAGACAAGGAAGAGGTAGGTGGAAGAGAACAAGAAGATGATAATGGCATTGTGCTAGATTCTTTCTTAAATTCAATGAGTAATTTCCTGATTACCCACTATGTGTCACATTAAAAAAAAAAAGGTATTTATTTATTTATTTGTTTGTTTGTTCTAATTAGTTACACAGGACAAACAAATAAATAAATGAACAGTAGAATGCATTTTGATACATCATACATAAATGTGGTAAATGAATGGAACTGAAGAATATCATGTTAAGCAAAATAAGTCAATCCCAAAAAACCAAAGGCCGAATGTTTTCTCTGATTTTATGAGGATACTAATTCATAATTTGGGGGTTTGCCAGGGAAGAATAGAGGTATTAGGACTATGTAGAAGGGAATGAAAGGAGGGGAGGGAGTACAGTACCCCTGTCTAGAAAGGACCTTAAAATGAATCAGACATTATTAACCTAGGTGTCACTTTCTAAATAATGGAAATACAGCAATGTGTGAGAAAGAGAGAGAAATCCTTCCTTTCACAGAATTTAGAGAGACAGAAAAAAAAAAATAAAATATATATCATATTAAAAGGTATTATGGCTTAGATTTTAAATGTCCCCTAAATGAGTTGAAGGCTTGGTTACCTACATGTGATACCACTGGGAGGTGGTGGAACTTTTAGGAGGTGGGTCTCAGTGGAAGGAAATTAGGTCATTGGGGATATACCTTTAAAGGGGATATTGAGATCCCAGCCCCTTCCACACTCTCTCTTTGCTTCCTGGCTGCCATGAAGTGACAGCTCTGCACTCTCCGCCATGATGTTCTGCCTTGCCATGGAACCAGAGTGAATGGGGCTGACCATGGACTGAAACCTGTGAAACTGTTGGGTCAATATAAATCTTTCTTCCTTTACCTCGAGTATTCTGTCACTGTGACAAGAGAGCTGATTAACACAAGTGTCAATAAATACTATGGAAAAAAATTTAAGCAGGAAAGGAGACATATGTACTGGAGCAAGATTTTCAATGGGGTTATTAGAGAACTAGAAGATTTCTGGGTTCACTTTCAGTTCAAACATCCAATGATTTTCTTCTACATTGACTAGGCAGCACGAAAACACACAGTGAACCTCTGAACCTGACCTCTTTAAACTCATACATTCTATCCCCTTACTCTTGTGTGTCAACACTTATATTTTAGAAAAACAGGATTAAACATACATTTTTCCATACTGAGACAAAGCATATGTTGTCACTTAATGAAACAAGTAATTTCCCAATCTTGCCTTGGGAGAGGAAAATAAGAAAAATAAAACCTAGCGATTTCTCCCCAAAGGTTCTAAAAATGCAGCATTTTTGTACTCAACATAAAGGATTAAAACAGTTATCCCCCTCCAATATATTTATGGTCTGGAATTTGGACCTTTATTGGCACTAAGTTACAACAAAAGGTGGTTTAACAATGTCTCTTCAATGGAAGATTTTTCATAAACAAGAAAAGTCACATGCATAAAAGAATTACTACTATAATTATTTTAGCAAACATATTTTTGTGGCTGATATGTGCCAAGTACAGAACTATTTTACATATTAGGTTGAACAACAAGAAATTGCTATTTATAGGTCAAAAACAGTAATTTTATACAGTTTGAACTAATACATTAATTTCAAATTCCATAAGACAGAAGTTTGTATATATTATATGCATCGTTATTTTTCTATAATTCTTATATTATCATCTTGGGAAACTTTTTTGCTTTTATTTAGGGATGTAAAGGTTCTCAGCTAAGTGGTACAAATAAATGGAAGATGCTATCTATCTGTGATAGTTCAAGCAAGCAAATATTTAATTTTATCTAAGACTTAACTTGAAGATTTGAACTTTAAGTATCATGATCATGTGGCTTCATTTTATAAAAAGTTCAATTTATTAATCATGCCTACTATTCTGCTTATAAAGATTCTTCATTCCAAAAATGAGTTTTTGACCAAATCATATTGCACGCAGGTGCAAACACGTAACAAATCACACTATTATGTTTAATTACAACACACAATAAAAATTATTAAAATAAATTTAAAAATTGATGATTTTTTTCTCCACAAGGAAGAATATAAAACAATCCAAAAATTATACTAATTTCTTCAATCTGTTAATTTATATTAGGATTTCCATTTCTTTAGAAATGTTTCACTAAACTGGTCATGGTGGTGCATGCCTATAATCCCAGCATCTTGGGAGGCTGAGGCTGAGGATCCGAGTTCAAAGCCAGCTTCAGCAACTTAAGCAAGGCACTTAGCAACTCAGGGAGCTCCTGTCTCTAAATAAAATAACAAAAAAGCGCCCCTGGGTTCAATCCCAGTACAAAACAAAACAGAGATGCTTCACTAAACAGTATTTCTCAAAAGAAAATACTGTACACAAACTAGCCTATTATGCTTAATCCAAATAAATTTCAAATTCATCTGTTAAAAGCAGATTAGTCCCTAAAGTTTATTTTTTTCTCTGGCAGCTATTTTTTATTCAGTATACAGTTCATGTTTACAGGTCAGATTTATGAAACATTCATAAAATAGCCTGTTCTTTTCTAAAATTGTATGTCATCTAAAATTTCATCTAACAGAATAAAGCAGGTACTCTGTACAGTATTAGCAGTTAGGAAAATTTATTTCCAACATTTAAATGCTGACAAACATTTTTAGTGAAACAATATTAAGAAAAAAAAAAACTACTGATAGTTTTGAAAAAAAGAATTAATTCAAGAAGAATATGATAATACACTTAAGAAAACAATAAATTTAAATAAGTAAATATATAAAAACCTACCAGCTCATTGCTTGTAGATGTGAGTCTTAGTTTTTCTTCAATTTCCTTTCCAATTTTCTGAACAGTTACCTGAGTCTGCTTAATTGCACACTGGGCTCTATGAAGCCTAGAAATACAAGTTGCAGAAAAGTTTAAGTGAGTTAATTATAAACTCAACACAAAGCCACAGATATGATAATATTTCTAGGATAAATAGAATTAATAATGGACCCATAATTCGTATCTATAATGAAAACATAGGGGGTACAATAAATTCTAAAATAATAATGCTCTAAAATACCCTTTCTGTACCTGCTTGCTTGTTTCTGATATATTAAGAGATAGAATGAAGGTCTCACAAGAAGAGCCCACAGGAATAATCCAGTCAAATCCTGTCACTCTGCACATGTAGAAACTGAGGTCCAAAGAAATAAAGTGGATTGCTAAATTCTACCAACTGAGTACCACTGCTATCAAGGCTATTACTTATAGGTACCCACAAGGATAAAAAGAATTCACAATCATTCCAGTTAAGAAGCTTAAATCAGCTGGACAAGGTGATGCATGCCTATAATTCCAGCTACTCAGGAGGCAAGGCAGGAGGATCAAAAATTCAAGGACAGCCTGAGCAATGTATCCAGACCCTGTGTCAAATAAAACAAATAAACAAAAAAGGTCTGGAAATAAAGCTCAATGGTAGAGCATTCCTGGGTTCAATTCCCAGTGCCAACCCCCAAAATAAATAAATAAATAAGTAAATGTAGCTTGTACTCTGAAACAGGTTTTTTTTTTTTAATCTTATTTATTTATTTATTTATTTTGTACTGGTTGAATCCAGGGGTGCTTAAGCTGAGCCACATCCACAGCCCTTTTTAAAATATTTTATTTATAGACAGAGTCTTACTGAGTTACTTAGGGCTTTGCTAAGTTGTTGAGACTGGCTTTCAATTTGTGATCCTCCTGCCTCAGCTCCCATGTTGAAGTTGCTGGGATTCCAGGCATGTGTCACTGCGCCTGGTAATAGCAACTTTATTCTTGGGACAGAAGTCCTCAAAGAACATTGGAAAAAAAAAAATGAAGAGCTGTTTTTCTTTTTCCTTGTAGTTTCTAGGACTTTTGCTTTTTGGTCTATCTTTAAATATGGTTTATATATTTCATAAGTCACAACTGACATGTGGAAAATTCTTAGGAAGGTACAAAACAATGTACTAGAACAAACAAGTGAATTTTAGTAACATCAGAGTATACAAGGTCAATATAAAAATAAATCAATTACACTTCTATGTTAGCCACAAACTATTGGGATACAAAATTTAAAACAATACCTTTACAATAACATCAAAAAATATAAAATACTTAGAAATAAAATAAATAAAAGATGTGTAAGATCTGACCCTGAAGTTATAAAACACTGCTAACATATATTAAAGAAGAGCTAAATAAATGGAAAAATATATCATGTATACAGACAGGAAGACTGAATATTGTTAAAATGTCAGTTTTTGTCAAGAGACCAACAGTTTCACAATCCTAATCAAAATCCCAACATGCTTTGTTTCTGTAGAAATTAAGAAGTTGACACCATAATTTACCTAATAGAGCAAAGAATCTAGAAGTGATAAATCAATCTTGAAATCTATCAGATTTCAAGACTTTCTATAGAGTTACATAATCAAGATAACAAGATACTGGCTTAAGGACCAAAAAAATAGATCATTGGCCAGGTGTGCCTATATACAGTCCCAGCCACTTGGAAGGCTGAGGCAGGAAGGTCACTTGAGTCCAGGACTTTAAGGCTAGTGTGAGCATCCCATCTCAAAAAAAAAAAAAAAAAAAAAAAATCAATTAAATCAAATCAAGAGTGTATTAATAGAGCTACACATATATGGAAAATTGGTTTTTGACAATGGAATCAAGGCAAATCAGTAAAGTTTTTAAATAAAATCAAAATTTTAAAAATAAAGTGTAGGAATATTAAAAAAAACTTGGGAGAAAAGTAGTATCATCCTCTACCTCACAGCAAGTGAAAAATTAAATTAAGGAAGATCATAGTAAACAAAAAAGCTAAAATCATAAAATGTAGAAGAATGTCTTGCAACCTTATGGTAAGGAAGGATTTATTAGAAGACACATTTAAAAAATACTAATCATAAAATTAAAAATGGGTAAATTGGACCTCACCAAAATTAGAAGCATCTAATTCATCTAAAGATGCCATTAAAAAATGAAGGGCTGGGGATATAGCTCAGTTGGTAAAGTGCTTGCCTCACATGCACAAGGTAATCTCAGTGACTCAGGAGGCTGAAGCAGAAGAAGAGCAGCAGTTCAAGACCAGCCTCAGCAACTTAGGGAGACCTTGTCTCAAAAAAAATAAAAAGGGCTGGAGATGTAGTTCAGTGGTAAAGAGCCCTGAGTTGGAAGAAAGGAAGGAAGAAAAGAAAGGGATATGGGGGAGGGAAAAAAAGAAAGGAAAGAAAGGAGGAGGAAGGGGAGAAAGAAAAATAAAAGGCAGGCCACAGACTGGGAGAAAATATTTGGAAAACATATATCTGACAAAGGACTGTGTTTGGACTATATAAAGAACTCTTACAAATCAATAACAAAAAGAAACAGACAAAATAGTGAAACAAACACTTCACAAAAGAAAATGTAGGTGGGCTCAGTGGCACAAGCCTATAATCCCAGCAGCTCAGGAGGTTGAGGCAGGAAGATCCAAGTTCAAAGCCAGTCTCAGCAATTTAGTGAGCTCTAAGCAACTTAATGAGACCCTTTCTCAAAATAAAAAATAAAAAGGGCTGGGGACGTGGCTCAGAGGTTAAGCGCTCCTGGGTCCAATCCCCAGTACCAAAAAGAAAAAGGAAATGTAATGGCCAACAACACAGGAAAGGTGTCTAACATCTTAGTCATCAGGGGAATAGAACTTAAAATATTTCATAGGGATTAGAAAATTAAAATTAAAATGACAACACCAAATGCTGGCAAGGATGTGAAGCAACTGGAACTTTTCTGCACCTCTTGAAAAAGAGTTAATAATATTCTTAAATAAAACATTCTGAAAAACTGTTTTATAAAGTTAAATGTACATCCAATCTATGGCCCAGCAATTCTACTCCTAGGCATTTATCCAAATGAAAATATATTTACATAAGAAGATTTGCCTAGGAATGTTTGCAGAAAACAATCTTTTTTGTGTCCAGAATTCCACAGTAAAGGTCTACTCAGCAGTAAAAAAAAAAAGGAAGGTAACACGGATACACATAATATGGATGGATAAAAACTTTGTGCTGTGTTGTGGGGGAAGCCCCAGACCAAAACGCACATGGTGTATGATTCCCTTCATACAAAGGTCAAGAACAGGTAAAGCCATTCTATAGTGACAAATCCAAACAGTGGGATGGGGTCTGTTAGTGAACAGAAGGAACAGAGAACTATCTGAGTTGATGGAAATGTCCTACATAAACATTAGGAGGAGTACAGCAAAAATCAGAAAATTTACATGTAAGAATTGCATATTTCACTACGTATAAATTTTACTTTGTTTAAAAAAATTGGTCATCAACCCTAACCTGAAAATAATCATGTATGTGGGAGGTTCATTTTATTAAGGATTTGATGGTACTAATATCTCTGCCAACATTATTATCATGATGGCACTGCACACTAAAAACATTCATGACTATTCTGTACTTTTGAAAATTGCTTGATAGTTATTGAGAATTTCTTACATCACTTAAAAAGGGCCAACTCTCATTACAGCTCCTTTGCTCATGAGATCAGTAATTCAACAACTTCCTTAAGACTCCTAAAGAATCCACGAGAAGATACCCCATCCCATAGCCTCCTGCTCTGGCTGTGCATGTATGTTTGTTTATTTGTTTAAAAAAAAAAAAAATATATATATATATATATATATATATATATATATATATATATATATGTATGTTGTTGGTAGACCTTTATTTACCTATTTATTTTTATGCTGTGCTGAGGATTGAACACAATGCCTCACACATGCTTGGCAAGAGCTCTACAACTGAGCTACAACTCCAGCCCTGTATGTATGTTAATCAGCACTGATGGTAATACTCTCTTACAAAGGCACCTCTAAAGAAATTTTAAAGAAAGAGAAAGGCCTTTGGGCAGTGATCTCTACCTACATCTCCAGCCTCTGTTTTCTGATATTCTTTACCTTGCACCATCAACTCCAACAATACTTCACCACTGGCAATTTTCCAAACATTTCACACCATTTCTCACTTCGGCACCTGTGTATGAGCTGTTGCATCCGCCTTCAAGTTCTCGATGTCCCTTAATAAGTAAATAAACTCCTAATCCATTAGGAGGCAGCTCAAGCACAGCCTCTTCTGCAAAGGCCTTCCCTGACTATTCCAGACAGGTAGAAGCACTCCTTTCTCCTGGAAATACACATCACTTCATGCATGACATGCACAACAAGTAGTATTACAGAAATCCATTTTACAGCAACTGTTCGTTCCCCCTTTCTGTTTCTGTACTAGATCTTTCTAAAGGGGGGAAAAAAATCCCATTTTCTCATATATATTCTAAATGTTAAGCACAGAACACAGCACAAAAGAGGCACTCCAAATATATTTGCTAGCTGAACATCTAATGTCTAAATATAAAAGTACAGTCCTGAGATTTGATATTTTTGCTTGATACAATAATTTAATTGAAGTATGTGAACTTTCTGCTTATAACTTCAAAATATTATATCAAAACAAAAATCACACAAATTAAAGACCATTCATTCAAGTAGAGAAATAAGAAATTTTTACTAAAATGATAGGCATTATCAACCCAGAGGAAAGATCAACAAAACAGCCTGTTACTTTAAAAGGGGGAGAGTGCTGCCTAAGACTTCACTGCTATGCAAACAACCTTGTCAAATGGTAAAGACTTTAAAAATAAAAATGATTCATGACCATAATTAATGTATGACTTCAACTATTTGGCTCTCACTGCCCCAGACGCTTTCTGATCTTACCTTAGGGGCTTAAAACACACAGACAGAGTCACATTTCCTCCAATCTTCAGTGTTATCCAAATAGACTTTCCGAGCCCCTGCTACATCAAGACAGCTAATAAGGTCCCCCTTTCAAATCCAAC